TCCCCTTCCCCTTCCCCTCTGGTCTTGTGTTAACACAACCCACATGGGGTTCTTTTGTTTCCGTGTCTTTCTCTTTTTAAAAGCCGCATAAACTGCTGCAGACCACAGAAAGGGAAGGGGGGGGGGGGGGGGGGGGGGGGTTCAATTACACAGTAAAACACGCTCCTTCCCAAACTGTGCTAATAGATATCCCTTTACAGTTCGGAAAGGTCAGGCTGGTTATTGCTGTCGTGCTCTGATTTACAGCCCCTCCCCTCTGCAACCCTAAACAAACATAGTTTAATAAGATCAATAACGATCAAAGGAACGTGGGGCAGAAAGGACTTTCAGCCCTTGCAATAACTACGGAGCCTGAATCCACTCGCTTTTCAAAAGGGGAGGAAAATAAACAGGAAATTAAAATCAAATAAAACCAGAAAAGAAGAAAGAAAGAAAAAAAGGCTTGGGGGTTTGGTTTGGTTTTTTTGTGCCAGCCCTAATAATTTAAAATAGTTGTGTTGTTTTCCCTAGTTCAAAACGCTCGGTGCCATCACAATCGGGCTTTGATATTGGACACTGATATTGATCTGGGTGCATCTGTCTCTCTCCGCAGCTGATAATGACAGCACACGTGATTTCCTGTTATTGAAGCCCCGCAGACGTTTCTGGAGCCAGAGTTTGGCAGCGCCGGGGCTGCTCTCCCATCAGCAACCCCCCCGTCCGAGGCTCTGATTGCCTTTCAGCCCCGCAAGGAGGATCCACGACGGAGTTGTAAACAACTTGTTTACCTCCTTCTCGGGGTGATCTGCCTCTGCTTCTATTGGCTCCTGCGCATAAACGGAGCAGGCAAATACCCAGCGCTCACAGGCTGGTGGGGAGAAAACAGCCCAAGCAAATGCTGCCTGTCCACGCTCTTTACTTTCCAGGGCAGAGGAGGATATTTATATCTGTTGTTTCCACTCTCAGCCCAGCACCACTCCCAGTGCACGAAAAGGTCTAGCTTGTAACTTTCAGTCTTTTTAGCCAGGAGATGTAGCTGGCAAGGAAAGAAGGCCACTTGTTTTACAAGTGCTTATTAAGGACAAACAAGGAAAGCAGTTTCTTTTTACACCTTGTTTACATTTTACTATCAAAAGTGAAAGGCAGGCATGCATAATAGATCCTGACATGCCCCTGGGAGTAGCAGCAATACCAGAAAGTAAAGCTTGGGAAAAGAGTAAATCCCTAAAGATTAAATCAAGAACAAAAAGAACTGTGGAATCTTAACTGCAAATCTGTAAATTAAGATGTAATGTTTTGGGTTGTGTACCCTTCAGGTTCCTAACCAGGTCTTTAGAAAGGATTAGAGACTGGCCCTGTAAGCAAAAATCCCAGGTTTACTCTACAAGCCAGAGGATGGGTCAAAATAGATGGGATATGGCACCAGGTCAGGAGGCACTTACCTGGCATCACACAGTCCAGAGCAGTTGACAAGAGGACCCTGAAAGGACTTGATCCTGCTCCTGTAGAAGTCAGTGGTAAAAGGCCAGTTGATTTTAATGATTCAGGAACAAGTCTTAAAACAGGGTTAGCAAAGTTTTATCAGTAGTGCTTGCTCAAGGAGTACAGATACCAAGCTACATATTATTACCCAGGGTTTGTGGGAATCATAAGGAAGTCCCAGAAATCTGAGACACCAAGTAGCCCAATAGATGGTGATGCCATCTATTCTAATTAATGCTATAGTTTTAGTAATCATGGGTGAACCTATGAAGTTTATTTCAATAAAGTATTCAAAATGTTGGGTGCTATTTTGAATCTTATCCAGACTTTCTCCAAACTTTTAGGTGTTAAAAAGAACTACATCTCTTATAAGATCATGAAACATTTAGCACTTATTGAAAAATATAAACAATGCCAACTCTAGACTTGCTTTTATAATAGCCAACCATTTCTCAGGAACTTTTGTGGCTCACCTAGCCCTAATTTTAGCATTGTTGAATCCACGTAACAAGTGTATCATAAGAAACATTAAAAAAAAAAAGTGAATGTTGTGAGATAATGGTAAACAGTCTGATAGCAGGGCTTTGGGAGTAGGAACAAAACTCAAGTGTTTCTCTATCAATAGCTTCATATAGATGTTCAGTTTCTCCTGGAGAGCCACTGTTCTCTAGTGACTCGTGATGAATATACAGATATTCAGGTTTTTTCTCCTAGAGTAAAAATGGCTGCTCCAGGAGAAAAATAACCTGGGAACAACCAGGGTTAATTCACTCTCAGGAGAGTTAACGTAGTTGTAGCAGCATAAACTCCCAGGAATTTCTCATGGGAGAGTGAATGTTTGTACATGCCATATGTATTTCTACTTTGCTCATCATCACTAAGGTACCTAAAATACCTGCTAGCTCTTGTTTCCAACTCCACTGTTGGCTTGCTGTTGGCTTGCTGTGTGGCCTCAGTCAAGTCACTAATTTCTCTATCTCATTTCATCTGTAAAAGGGTGATACCACATACTTCTGATGGCAGTAGTATGTGGGTAATGAGGATTGTTTTTTTTTTAAAGGGATGGAAAAATATTTTCCTTCATCTGTTTTCATGCTTTCCCTATGTTCATGCTTTCATAAAAATAGAAGAAAAAACATCACAAGGCTAGGGCAGAAATATGCTATCATTATAAATTCTTGCTGAAAGTAATGCCATAGCAATCTTAAGCGTATGCTATGACTAGCTTTTAGGGACTGAAATCATGGTAACTCCAATTATGAATAAGGAAAAAAATATTTTCTCACTTTGTTGTAAACAATATGATTTTCTGTTCTCTAGTAAGTCTGCCCCTTTAAAAAGAATCTAGCAATTGAGAGTTGTTTTTCTGTGTGGCTTGTAGTGATATGGTCAGGAGAGGTACATAATAAATTAATGATAGGAAATTGCAGAATAGATGTATACAGGTCAAGGTCACATTGTGCATAAATGGAGGTCTAAGAGTTGTATATTCCATGCTATCTGGCTTCTACCACTTTATTGATTTTTCACTCTGAGGAAAAAAGAGAAAGAGAAAGACTTTAATAGATTTTTACATCTTTGGTCTGTTCTAAATCTGTCTTAGTTCTGATCTTCTCAATGTTCCAGAGAACATACAGCACTTTCATCACAATAACAAAGTAGTCTTAAACCTGCAATGCTGCCTTCATGACTTAAGAATCAGTGGTCATTTTAAGTCTATCAAAAACATTTGCTAAAGGAATCAAGGAGAGTTGTATAACAATGAATCTGTGTGAAAAGCACATACAGCTGAGGGAATGCCAGGAAAAGCTCCTTTTATCTTTTGTCTGAATCAGAGGCATGACGATAACGACACAGGTTTCTATACAGTATTTGTTAATGAAATGCAGTGCACTATAGAATTCAGCTCACAGCCCCTAACTATAAAGAAGAGTAATAATGTTGCAGCTTGAAGTGTCTTAGATATAACTGAAATTTAATTAACACTTAAGCAGGACTTACTTTTGCAGCTGAGGCAGAAACTGAGCTTCTAAGGTCTAGCACAGCCTTTGCAAAGAATTTACAATTCCTGCACTGACCACTAGCAAACACAGATATATCTCAAAAGTTCCATAGCTGTCTTTGCCCCTGTGGAGGGGCTATTTATAATCAGGGAACATCATTGAAGCCTAGCTGGTTATGTAAGATAGAAAACAGAATATCTAATGTATGCCCTAGCCAAGATGATCCCTTGTGTTTCCAAGGAGTAGTGTACTCAGAGCAGCATGCTTAATAAAGCTTTAAAAAATTGTCAGAAATTCTAAATTCCAATGGGTTAAAGAGGAGGTATATTTTAAGGGCTATAGTATGCCCATTTGTCTGAAGACAGTGTTATGTATAAAGCTATAAGAAGGCCAATGTCCAATCAATTTATTCTTTACCCTGCTTACATGACTAGCCATTGATCTTCCACATGAAAACAGTGGTAAGTGTCAAGTGGAAACCTAAGTGGTTAGGTTATAACCTGGAAAACCCCTTCCTCCAAAAAAATGGAGGGCAATAGAGAAATGGAGGGCAAAAGAATGTATAGAGGTCACCTTGATTTCAGGGTTAAGCCTTCATTTTGATCAGTTCTTATTCTCTGCTATAAATATGATGAATTTTTTTTTCCAACTATTTAAGTTGGTCTAATAAAAGATATCAGATTCACCCAAAGAACCTTGTCTGCCTATCTCCTTAGACCAACACAGCTACAACCTACACCCCTACTATTAATATGGCTCTCCTAATTGCTCTTTCTAAGAATAGTGCTCCCACGACTTACTCTTGGGTCAAACATATGGCTTTCTTTAAGGTTTCCATTGGTGATGGTCCATTGATCATTCAATCAGGTATGTATTAGGACTGACACTTTTCATCTCTCAGCCCCTTGCTTTTCCCAAGACTAAGTCCATCACTTCTTCACCACATTTACCCTGCTCTGGCCTTTGAATTAGGCTCCTCATTTCACAGATTCACAGAAGTTTAGGGCTGGAAAGGGACTTTGTGAGATCATCGGTTGCTTTAGAATTTAGCCTATCATATGGCATTATAGTGTAATATCACCATGTCTCTGAGCCAGACTGCATATAATCTTTTTAAAATAGAATTTCAAACAATAAGCAGGGCAGGTCTACATGATACAAGGTACCAGACAGCAGCATCTTGAAACGTGCCACATTGCTTCATGTGGACAACCTCCTGAACAGGAAGCTACACACTTGCAGAGAGGTGGTCCTGTGGGCTGCCTAATTATCTCTGTCTGTCTGTAATTGTGGCTTAATGCTAAAATGTGGCTTTGCAAAAATGGCAGTGTGAGATTACAATTTGAATGTTTTTTGCTGATTTTGCATCATTTGCGCTCAGTCTGTAAGTAAAAAGATTTTGTTTATAACCGGGCAGATTTAGTCTGGGTTTAGAAACTCTAAACTAGATTTTTTCCTTCTTATGCAGGTCCTGCATAACAACTCATCTCAAGCACCTGTAATGGAGGGATATATATATATATATATATATATATTTGTGTGTATGTGTATGTGTGTATATATATATATGTATGTATATATACACACACACACCTACTAGCAAATTGCCTATCAAGAATGATGGGAGGGCGAGGACAGGGGACTGTATCTGACCCCCGCTCACTGCTTCAGGGCTGGAACCATTCCCCGCACCCTTCTCCCTGCCACTTCAGGGCCAGGCCCACTTCCCCCTCCCCTCACCGCTTTGGGGCTGAAGCTACACCCAGTCCCCCCCAATCTGTTCCCTGCTGCTTCAGGGCTGGGGCAGGGACAGGGGCGGGGGCCGGGCCTGCTCCCCCCACCCCGCTTTGGGTCTGAGGCCTCAACCCCCTGCTCTGTCTGCTCCCTTGCCACCACCTCCAGGGAGCAGGGCCAGGGGGGCGAGGCCAGCACCACTAGCCTCGCCCCCCAACTCCATCGCCTCCATCCCCACTGTCATGGCAGTTCTCTGCTGCATTGCCACCACCACCTGTCTGGAACGGCATTACAGACAGACAGACAGACAGACAGACAAATACTTTTATAATATTAGAATATATATACACACACACACATATATATATATACACACACACACACACATACACACATGCACACACACACAGATACACACTTGAATGCACACAAATATATACACACACTTACATACATAGTGCATAGATACAAATGATGGTAGATAACTTGTTCATATACAAAAAATGAATGGAATCTAGCTGACTTTTAGCTGTTCTAGGTATATAGTACAAACAGAAATTAATAAAAGTGTAGGGCAACTCCTTGAACCATGAAGTTACTGGATTTCACAAGTTTAATTCAGTGCAAAATCTAGCCCTTATTTCAGTCACTGAAGTCAGTAGATATGACCCTGGATATACACAGGAACAGACATGTTGAATAAGAATTTGCTGTTCCTACAGAGCTCCTTTTTTCAGACCAGGACTATTAAGGACTTTTTTTTTTGTGGTGGAGAGGAGGGGATTAGCTATTTTACTTTAACTCTTTAACTTTCCTACAACTGCTTACAGATCCAAGTTTTCATTAGAAACATAAATGTCCCATTTATTTTTGTATTGTTTAGCTACTCTACCATGTTACTAGAATATTTTTGTAATGAATATTGTAACTATAGTAACATTCTTTAATGAATAAATAGTACATTTGCAATTGGGCTGAGATGGTTGATGCAGAAATAGGACTCCAGCAGAGCAGTTTGTCAGTTTACCTTGTTATTAAATAGATATTTTTTATTAGAAGCATTTCAGATTTTTTAACTCATTGTTTGGTGGTTTATGAACACAATAATTATGTTTTCTTTGTTTTGAACATCTGCAACCATACATTTCAATGACACTGTAAGGAAGCCTATTCTGTGTGAATGAGAAAAAATATTTTTATTTATGGTTATTTAGTTTCCAAAATGTTTTTGTCTTATATTTTGTCCTATTTGAAAGTCATTTTTGACGGCTTAGATAAACAAAAGCCATTTTTCCATGCACATTTGTTATTAGCTTTTTAAATGTCTCACATAAGTGTTAAAATATTTACTTTGTGGAGACAGTAAACTAAGTGGCTGAGCTTTCTCCCACTGAAGTTAATGGAAGGTAGGCAGGATCAGGCCTTTAGGAATAAGGAAAAAATATCAAACTAAATAGATGCTCTTCTCAATTTCCAATACAAGTCAGACCTGGCATGTTTCAGGTATCAGTTTGTTCTCAGTCTGACAAAGTCTAGAGGTTAAATTTTTTAAAAAAGCATACAGTTTGAATGGACTAGGACAGGGTTGTCCAACTTCTAAGTGGCCAGGGCCCTTACATGTTATGGACTGCAACAGTGGTGGCCATACCCCCATTTGCACAGCTTGCCAGCACTGCACACCCGCTGAAATAATCTTATGTGGACACTGCCCCTCAATGCCACACTGTACACCACGCAGTCCTGGCCTCACCTGGAGCACTCTGAGCCATGCTGTGCTGTGCCATACCACCTCCTGAAGCAGGCACAGAATATGGGAGCTGGATGTTGGAGAGGGAGCCCAGAGTGCAGCAGAAGTGAAAGGGAGAATTGTAGCCAGGTGGGAGCCTGGGAGTCACAGCTTAACCCCTCATAGGCTGCAGTCAGGCTGGAGACTGTCAGTTAGACATTCCTAAACTAGGATGGCAGGAATAGGTACTCTACTTCCACAACACTAAGGAAAAGCATTCTTAGACCAGTCAGCTGTAGTATCTTCTACAAAGGCTGAGGGAAGGTAGAGAATATAATTCAGTACTCTCCCCATTCAAGGAAATTGGGGCTGTAGTCTAGACTCACAGGCCAAAAGCCCATCTTCCGGGCTTTTTACCACTCTGCCACGTTACATGTGGGAGAGGTGGAATCATCAGGAATAGTTTTTCTCCTATTTGACCCACTAGCACAGAAAAAGCAGCAGTAACCCCATGAAAAATTTGACCTCACCAAGGGGATTTTTCCAGGGGCAATTTGCATCACTTGCCAGGATGCATAAGCGCCTTTCAGAATTTGTCTCTCTAGTAAATGATGCCTCTAGGAATTTTTCCAACTATTTAGTTGTTCTAATAAAAGATATCACATTTACCCAAAGAGCCCTGTCTGCCTATATCCTTAGACCAACAAGGCTACAACCAACGCTGCCTCCAGGAATGGCATTCCACATACTGACTCAAATTTGAACTTGAGACCTGTGCCATAATTCAAAGGAGGTATTTCTAGGCATGAAGCTTTGAAGCAGGGCTGTCACCTGGTAGATATATATAGATGAAAGTGTCAAGCTCCTTTTCTGCTTTCAGCACTCTGGATATTCTTGTCCTTTATGTAAAAGCTTTACTTGTAGATGCTTGCCAGTTTTATGACCACGACTCAGCAAGCATCCACGAAATTGCATTGAAAGTGTATAAGTTTAATCAACTACTGTACACAACAAATTGCCTTCTGGTCTTTCAGATTCCTTTGATTGCACTTTACAAATAATATATAA